GAACCCGGTTTAACCTACAAAGGCCAGCTTTCTCACCTAAAACAATATGAAAAAATAACTCAGAAAAAGCACAGTAAAGGCGTTCCTGTTGCCCCGTCAATTTACTCATGGCTACTGAAAATTCATGAATCGTGCAATCGTACGGTACCGCTCTCCAGCATTTCCGCCCGCGTTTCGAGGTTTTATTTGAAAAACAAAAGTGAATATTGTGAAACATTAAAATCTTCGAAAATTATGAATAATTTAAAATATTCCATGTCACTGATCGCACTTACCAGGCACTCCTCGCGGATACCCCGATTAATTAGCTTTAATTCCCGTTTCGTCTGTACATATATAATAAACGGATACCTGTTAGGTGGTGGCACCCGAACCCGGGCTGACCTACGAAGTCCAGTTTTGTCACTCAGAAAAAGCATGGTCAAAGGGAAAAAGCTAGAAGTAGGTGGCGCAATTTTTGATTGAATGACTGACCTCAAATCACTTTAGTGGGGAGCAACATTGGATATTGCTGCCATTAAATCAGCTTGTGGAGTATTTTCATGAACACGAAAGTGGTTTTAATTTATTTTCCTGAAAGCAGGTTATTTGAAATACATATTAGATCACTAGATTCCTTGAAAATTGCAAACCACTTATGTTCTATTGAACTATAAGTAATTAATGTAGAAAAAGTACATTTGAAACAAGTACTTTTTTATAAAATACAAAAATCCCGACAGTAGTAAGTAGAACATTAAGTTCGTATGTATTGGAATCTTTTCTCCAGAGAAAGCATCTTGGAAAAAATATGCCTGAAGTAGTTTTTGGATCGACCGATTCCATTCCGTTGGCATATTCCTTGAATCCAGATGAAAATTTGGGTGTCACAATTTTTTATAAGAGCGTATCAATTTGGATAATAACAGCTAATAAAATCCGTATTTTGTCTCTTAAATGTCAATTTTGCTATCTAATGTTAATAACTCACCTCATCGCTTGTCTTGGGTGGTCTTTCTCTTCTGTGAGGGGCTGCGGTGGCGTCCCGCGTAGGAAGAGTTTCCTTAACCTTCTAATAAAAAAATAAAATAAAACAAACGATTATGGTTAAAATGGCCTCAGGTATTTAACCCCCATATTGTTTAGATTATTACTCATGTTGTATCAAAAACCTGAGCATATTCCACCCAACCACTTGCTCACAATTAACGTATCCTGTGGTTTTCGAGCTGATAATACTCCATGTGTCCACTGGCCTCCAAATGAAACAACAGACGTAGGAATTACTTTGTCTCATGACACCGGTTGAAACGGTGTCTTAAAGGGAGCCTCCTAGGAATCAAATTGCCTCTTATCCTCCTGATAGATTAGTGGGAGGATGGATTGTAGCAACCCGGTACTCGTAGGGAAAAGCTGGACCACAAAACATGAAATGAAGAAGAAGAGAGGAGGGAAACAGATAGTACTCTTGAAGAAGATACCGTCATGGAAGTTGAAATTCAGGACACGACAGTGGGATAGAATCGCAGAAGAAAAAATAAATAAAGTTTTTAGGAGACCAAAGGAAGAAGATCGTGAAAGCTAGAAAACTGGCAGGTGATGGGACTTTAACGGATCCAAATCCGTGCAAATGCTTAGAAATTCATCACGACAACTATTTGACCTACGAACATTAAGTTCGTATGTACTGGAATCTTGCCTCCAGAGAAAACATCTTGGAAAAAATATGACTGAAGTAGTTTTTGGAACGACCGATTCCATTATGTTGGCATATTAAATGTATCCAGATGAAAATTTGGGTATGGCACAATTTTTTATAAGAGTGTATTAATTTGAATAATAGCAGCTAGTAAAATCCGTATTTTGTCAATTTTGCTATCAAATGTGAATAACTCACCTCATCGTGTGTCTTGCGTGGTCTTTCTCTTCTGTGAGGGGCTGCGGTGGCATCCCGCGTAGGAAGAGTTTCCTTAACCTTCTAATAAAAAAATAAAATAAAACAAACGATTATGGTTAAATGGCCTCAGGTATTTAACCCCCATATTGTTTAGATTCTTCTTGGAAAAAATATGACTGAAGTAGTTTTTGGAACGACCGATTCCATTATGTTGGCATATTAAATGTATCCAGATGAAAATTTGGGTATGGCACAATTTTTTATAAGAGTGTATTAATTTGAATAATAGCAGCTAGTAAAATCCGTATTTTGTCAATTTTGCTATCAAATGTTAATAACTCACCTCATCGTTTGTCTTGGTGGTCTTTCTGTTCTGTGAGGGGCTGCGGTGGCGTCCCGCGTAGGAAGAGTTTCCTTAACCTTCTAATAAAAAAATAAAATAAAACAAACGATTATGGTTAAATGGCCTCAGGTATTTAACCCCCATATTGTTTAGATTCTTCTTGGAAAAAATATGACTGAAGTAGTTTTTGGAACGACCGATTCCATTATGTTGGCATATTAAATGTATCCAGATGAAAATTTGGGTGTCACAATTTTTTATAAGAGTGTATTAATTTGAATAATAGCAGCTAGTAAAATCCGTATTTTGTCAATTTTGCTATCAAATGTGAATAACTCACCTCATCGTGTGTCTTGCGTGGTCTTTCTCTTCTGTGAGGGGCTGCGGTGGCATCCCGCGTAGGAAGAGTTTCCTTAACCTTCTAATAAAAAAATAAAATAAAACAAACGATTATGGTTAAATGGCCTCAGGTATTTAACCCCCATATTGTTTAGATTCTTCTTGGAAAAAATATGACTGAAGTAGTTTTTGGAACGACCGATTCCATTATGTTGGCATATTAAATATATCCAGATGAAAATTTGGGTATGGCACAATTTTTTATAAGAGTGTATCAATTTGAATAATAACAGTGAGTAAAATCCGTATTTTGCCTCTTAAATGTCGATTTTCCCATCAAATGTCAAAAACTCACCTCATCGCGTGTTTTGCGCGGTCTTCCTCTTCTGCGAGGGGCTGCGGCGGCATCCCGCGAAGGAGTTTCCTTAGCCTAGTAATAAAAAAATAAAATAAAACAAACGATTATGGTTACATGACCTCAGGTATTTAACCCTCATATTGTTTAGATTATTATTCATGTCGTATCAAAAACCTAAGCAAATTCCACCCGACCACTTGCTCACAATAAACTTATCCTGTAGTTTTCGTGCTGATAAAACTCCATGTGTCCACTGGCCTCCAAATGAAACAACATACGTACGAATTACTTCGTCTCAGCAATCTCAATCGCCCTTTTGATGTACAAATCAAATTTTAATTTTGAATCTTCGAAAATTATGGACAATTTAAAATATTCCATGTCACGGTTCGCACCTACCAGGCACACCTCAGGGATACCCCGATTAATGTACATAACAAACGGATACCGGTTGGGTTGTGGCCTCCGAACCCGGTTTAACCTACAAAGGCCAGCTTTCTCACCTAAAACAATATGAAAAAAATCACTCAGAAAAAGCACAGTAAAGGCGTCCTGTTGCCCCGTCAATTTACTCATGGCTACTGAAAATTCATGAATCGTGCAATCGTACGGTACCGCTCTCCAGCATTTCCGCCCGCGTTTCGAGGTTTTATTTGAAAAACAAAAGTGAATATTGTGAAACATTAAAATCTTCGAAAATTATGAATAATTTAAAATATTCCATGTCACTGATCGCACTTACCAGGCACTCCTCGCGGATACCCCGATTAATTAGCTTTAATTCCCGTTTCGTCTGTACATCTATAATAAACGGATACCTGTTAGGTGGTGGCACCCGAACCCGGGCTGACCTACGAAGTCCAGTTTTGTCACTCAGAAAAAGCATGGTCAAAGGGAAAAAGCTAGAAGTAGGTGGCGCAATTTTTGATTGAATGACTGACCTCAAATCACTTTAGTGGGGAGCAACATTGGATATTGCTGCCATTAAATCAGCTTGTGGAGTATTTTCATGAACACGAAAGTGGTTTTAATTTATTTTCCTGAAAGCAGGTTATTTGAAATACATATTAGATCACTAGATTCCTTGAAAATTGCAAACCACTTATGTTCTATTGAACTATAAGTAATTAATGTAGAAAAAGTACATTTGAAACAAGTACTTTTTTATAAAATACAAAAATCCCGACAGTAGTAAGTAGAACATTAAGTTCGTATGTATTGGAATCTTTTCTCCAGAGAAAGCATCTTGGAAAAAATATGCCTGAAGTAATTTTTGGATCGACCGATTCCATTCCGTTGGCATATTCCTTGAATCCAGATGAAAATTTGGGTGTCACAATTTTTTATAAGAGTGTATCAATTTGGATAATAACAGCTAATAAAATCCGTATTTTGTCTCTTAAATGTCAATTTTGCTATCTAATGTTAATAACTCACCTCATCGCTTGTCTTGGGTGGTCTTTCTCTTCTGTGAGGGGCTGCGGTGGCGTCCCGCGTAGGAAGAGTTTCCTTAACCTTCTAATAAAAAAATAAAATAAAACAAACGATTATGGTTAAAATGGCCTCAGGTATTTAACCCCCATATTGTTTAGATTATTACTCATGTTGTATCAAAAACCTGAGCATATTCCACCCAACCACTTGCTCACAATTAACGTATCCTGTGGTTTTCGAGCTGATAATACTCCATGTGTCCACTGGCCTCCAAATGAAACAACAGACGTAGGAATTACTTTGTCTCATGACACCGGTTGAAACGGTGTCTTAAAGGGAGCCTCCTAGGAATCAAATTGCCTCTTATCCTCCTGATAGATTAGTGGGAGGATGGATTGTAGCAACCCGGTACTCGTAGGGAAAAGCTGGACCACAAAACATGAAATGAAGAAGAAGAGAGGAGGGAAACAGATAGTACTCTTGAAGAAGATACCGTCATGGAAGTTGAAATTCAGGACACGACAGTGGGATAGAATCGCAGAAGAAAAAATAAATAAAGTTTTTAGGAGACCAAAGGAAGAAGATCGTGAAAGCTAGGAAACTGGCAGGTGATGGGACTTTAACGGATCAAAATCCGTGCAAATGCTTAGAAATTCATCACGACAACTATTTGACCTACGAACATTAAGTTCGTATGTACTGGAATCTTGCCTCCAGAGAAAACATCTTGGAAAAAATATGACTGAAGTAGTTTTTGGAACGACCGATTCCATTATGTTGGCATATTAAATGTATCCAGATGAAAATTTGGGTATGGCACAATTTTTTATTAGAGTGTACCAATTTGAATAATAACAGTGAGTAAAATCCGTATTATGTCTCTTAAATATCGATTTTCCTATCAAATGTCAAAAACTCATCTCATCGCGTGTTTTGCGCGGTCTTCCTCTTCTGCGAGGGGCTGCGGCGGCATCCCGCGAAGGAGGAGTTTCCTTAGCCTAGTAATAAAAAAATAAAATAAAACAAACGATTATGGTTACATGACCTCAGGAATTTAACCCTCATATTGTTTAGATTATTATTCATGTTGTATCAAAAACCTAAGCATATTCCACCCGACCACTTGCTCACAATTAAATTATCCTGTGATTTTCGTGCTGATAAAACTACATGTGTCCACTGGCCTCCAAACGAAACAACATACGTAGGAATTACTTCGTCTCAGCAATCTCAATCGCCCTTTTGATGTACAAATCAATTTTTAATTTTGAATCTTCGAAAATTATGAACAATTTAAAATATTCCATGTCACTGTTCGCACTTACCAGGTACACCTCAGGGATACCCCGATTAATGTACATAACAAACGGATACCGGTTGGGTTGTGGCCTCCGAACCCGGTTTAACCTACAAAGGCCTGCTTTCTCACCTAAAACAATATGAAAAAAAATCATTCAGAAATAGCACAGTAAAGGCGTCCTGTTGCCCCGTCAATTTACTCATGGCTACTGAAAATTCATGAATCGCGCAATCGTACGGTTCCGCTCTCCAGCATTTCCGCCCGCGTTTCGAGATTTTATTTGAAAAACAAATTGTGAAACATTGAAATCTTCGAAAATTATGAATAATTTAAAATATTCCATGTCACTGATCGCACTTACCAGGCACTCCTCGCGGATACCCCTTTTAATTAGGTTTAATTCCCGTTTCGTCTGTACATATATAGTAAACGGATACCTGTTAGGTGGTGGCATCCGAACCCGGGCTGACCTACGAAGGCCAGTTTTGTCACCTAATACAGGATGGAAAAATCACTCGGAAAAAGCATGGTCAAAGGGAAAAAGCTAGAAGTAGGTGGCGCAATTTTTGATTGAATGACTGACCACAAATCACTTTAGTGGGGAGCAAAATTGGACATTGCTGCCATTAAATCAGCTTGTGGAGTATTTTCATGAACACGAAAGTGGTTTTAATTTACCTTTCTGAAAGCAGGTTATTTGAAATACATGCATATTAGATCACTAGATTCCTTGAAAATTGCAAACCACTTATGTTCTATTGAACTATAAGTAATTAATGTAGAAAAAGTACATTTGAAACAAGTACTTTTTTATAAAATGAAAAAATCCCGACTGTAGTAAGTAGAACATTAAGTTCGTATGTATTGGAATCTTGCCTCCAGAGAAAGCATCTTGGAAAAAATATGACTGAAGTAGTTTTTGGATCGACCGATTCCATTCCGTTGGCATATTCCTTGAATCCAGATGAAAATTTGGGTGTCACAATTTTTTATAAGAGTGTATCAATTTGAATAATAACAGCTAGTAAAATCCATATTTTGTCTCTTAAATGTCAATTTTGCTATCAAATGTTAAAAACTCACCTCATCGTGTGTCTTGCGTGGTCTTCCTCTTCTGTGAGGGGCTGCGGTGGCATCCCGCGAAGGAAGAGTTTCCTTAACCTTCTAATAAAAAAATAAAATAAAACTAACGATTATGGTTAAATGGCCTCAGGTATTTAACCCCCATATTGTTTAGATTATTACTCACTTGCTCACAATTAACTTATCCTGTGGTTTTCGTGCTGATAAAACTCCATGTGTCCACTGGCCTCCAAATGAAACAACATACGTAGGAATTACTTCGTCTCAGCAATCTCAATCGCCCTTTTGATGTACAAATCAAATTTTAATTTTGGATACCCAGGTAGCCGAAACGCTCGTAAGAAGTCACTCCTACGTATGTGGTTTCATTTGACTGACAGACAAATATGGAGATTTAACCTGCTGGCACGGGGGCAAGAGGTTGGGGTGGCCCTCAGAGAGATATCGAAAATTAATACCTATTCCATCCTCAGCGCCTCAGCGGAGTGTTACGACTTCTAAAATCGTCCGGGAGGGGACGGGTATGATCAAATAATGAAACCTCGGGCTATCCTTCCGCCAACGTACAATCCTTTGCACCTTTCACGCAGTTGCCCTCTCACGCTAATCCTGAAGGGTCTAGGCTAGAGTCCCGAATGACTCTCAGGTGATGGGCTACAGCATTACCAGTATCAATGCCAGTTTCCAAGATAACTTCTTATGACGTACTAAACATCCAAAGCCGTCACAAAAACAAGAATAAAGCCAATGTCAGCAAGGGATTTCTAGCCAAATTGCCTGGAGCATAAACAGGCCCAAATAAAGCTAAACTAATGGGGAAGAGTGTCAGGCAAGTGAGAGAAGACTCAAGATTCCCCAAAAAAATCAAAAAACGCAAGAGCCTGCCATGTGCTACAGTGAGGCAGATTCCGACCGGCTGGCGGTAATTGACAGATGAAATCCGGACATAACCCAAAGGATCTGGTCACAAGAAGGTTGGGAGGGGTATAGCACGAGGAGAGCACGAGCTCACCTCACCACTTACCAGCCATTGCTCGGGGTACCCCGATTAATTAGGTTTAATTCCCGTTTCGTCTGTACATATACGTATAATAAACGGATACCTGTTAGGTGGTGGCATCCGAACCCGGGCTGACCTACGAAGGCCAGTTTTGTCACCTAAAACAGGATAAAAAAAATCACTCAGAAAAAGCACAGTGAAGGCGTCCTGTTGCCCCGTCAATTGACTCATGGCTACTGAAAATTCATGAATCATGCAATCGAACGGGGCCCTCCAGCATTTCTGCCCGCGTTTTGCGGTTTTATTTGAAACACAAAAATCAATTTTGTAAAACATTGAAATCTTCGAAAATTATGAATAATTTAAAATATTCCATGACACTGATCGCACTTACCAGGCACTCCTCGGGGATACCCCAATTAATGAGTTTTAATTCCCTTTTCGACTGTACATAAACAACAAATGGATACCGGTTAGGCGCTGGCATCCGAAACCGGGCTGACCTACGAAGGCCTGCTTTTTCACCTAAAAGAGGATGAAAAAAATCACTCAAAAAAGCATGGTCAAAGGGATGTAGGTGGCGCAATTTTTAATTGAAAGACTGACCTCAAACCACTTTAGCGGGGAGCAAAATTGGACATTGCTACCATTAAATCAGCCTGTGGAGTATTTTCATGAAACGAAAGTGGTTATTTTTCTAAAAGCAAGTTATTTGAAATACATGTACCTATATTAAACCACTAAATTAACTGTTTGTTCAGGTGGCGCTGTTCTTTAACGTTGCATAGTTTCTGAAGTCTTCTGTACAGGGAAGATAATTTCTCCCTGTATGTGGTTTCAGATACAGTAATTCGCATCATAGTTCAAACTTCAAATTTGTTTGCTTATGAGTAAATTTCTTATATAAACTGTATGATCTCTCAACTACCTAGTATACCTTATCGATATTTTTTAAATCTTTCAATAGACCTGCCAAGTCTATTGTTTTTAGCAATATTTAACTTTAATAAATTCTGGAAATACCGAACGGTTCTTGCAGGCTTTTAGAAATTTGCTCTCACTAACTTAATCTTAGTACATACCTTGTTCAAGCGTATAACGATCCATAGTCGTTCAACGCATTCTTTACTAAATTCCTTTCAAAACAGAACTGATGGAAGTGTTGCCAACCATGAGATAAGCCCTAGTTAAAAAATTAACCAACAGATTGATCACCCTTTAGTATGTATATCACAAAATAAATAGCTATTACTTTAAATCAGGGTCAAAATACAACTAAATGATTCCTAAAACGCACGCAATAGTTGAATTAAATATAAAATACAGTTCTGCTTTTTTAGGATTATTGTTTTTTTATTGAATTTCTTTACCATTTTGCACAAATGTGGTTTGCATTGAGGCGGTGTTGGATTTCCACCTTCAATGCAGGAATGTCTGTGGGCTTATTGACACAGACGTTTCACTAGACTTTAAAAGTAATATGAATTCAAATTTCATTTTAGAAATCTTTGATCTAGGGGCCATATCTGTTCACCAGAACGAGAGAATATATGACCAGGAATTGTCTCATACAGCAATTGTTATCTACAAAATTCAGCCATATCCATGCAAAAAGGTCACGAAAATTTTTCACAAAAGTGTGCATAGGCCGAGGAGGCCATTTGCTGAATGTGCTATCCAATTAGGAAATAAGTGGAACCTCTCTAACTCGAACCTTCAAAAGTTTGCACAAAAATTCGAGATTTAGAAAAACTTTGGATTTAAATGTTTATATATATTTTTCAAGTTTGTTCAGTGATATGTATATTGAGTCTGGTGTTGTCTCCTCTGTCAGGAAATAATTTTTCAAAGTGTCAAGAGCATGCTAAACTTCTTTATGTGGTGGTTTCTCAATGTGTGCTTCTTCATCACTTACTTCTTCCTCTTGTAAGGGTGGTGTAATTTTTGGAACACTTTCCAAAATATCTTGGTCTGAAGGATGGTCTGTCGTTAGCACGTCAGAGTCCATTTCAAGAAAAGAATCGAGTGTCATCCTGTACATTTAAATCTTCTTTACATTTTTTAAAATGCAATTCATCAAGTTCAAACGCATTTTGCTTGTCAATCAGCAAGCTTTCTCTTAATTGACAAAGAGGAATTTCGTCTTCTTCTTCATATGGATTGCCAGTAAAACCAACCTTTTTAAAAGAGTTTTGAATCACAACTGGTTTCACATCGACATTCCAGGTCATTGCAAGCTGTTTCACACAATCCAAAAGCGTTATTTTTGGAACACATCTGTCTTTTTCTAAGCCATCCAAAATCAGTTTTAGAATTCTCATCTTGTAATGGTGCTTAAAACTTATGATAACCTGATCTAGAGGTTGTAATTTTGATATAGCATTTGGTGGGAAATACTACATTAATGGCCTTCAGTCTATGCTGTACAGCAGGATGTGCAGAGCAGTTATCAATAAACATTAATACCGTTCGGTTTTCTACTCAAAACTGTTTGTCTATTTTCATAAGCCAGTCTTAAAACACTTCCCCAGTCATCCAGGCCTTTTTTTTATTTTTATAGATCACTGGTAACCATTAAGCTCCTTTAAAACATCTTGGTTTTGCAGTTCTTCCAATAACTATAGGTTTCAGTTTTTTTTGTACCATTCATATTTGATGCAAAGAGACATATGACACGTTCTTTGCTGAGTTTCCCACTAACGCATTTGTCGTTTTTAAATGCCAAAGTTTTGTTCGGCATGCGCCTAAAGAACAAGCCGGTCTCGTTAGCATTGAAAATATTCTCTTAATCATAAGGCTTCAAAATCCCCGGCAGAACATTTTTTATCCAGTCGCTAACCTGGTTTTCATCTACTGCAAACTTTCCCCGCATATAGTTTTCTGTGGTATATCATACCTACAAATTTTTGTAAGTTAGAATTTTTCCACACATCAGATTATAAATTTTTACCTTTTTTTTAAATCTATGAAGCCGTCCAGCACTGGCCTTAAAATGTGCTGTTCCTAGATAGTATGTAAGCGTAACAGCTCCAATACACACCACACACAAATGACGATGGAAACGAACTCCAAATGTAAATAACAAGAAACGGTAATTCTCGAATCTGTTTCGTTTATTACTGGTTTCAACCAATTGTAAACAACCGATTGCGTAATCACACCGTACGTGTTTTCTTAGAAATTTCGAGTTATGGATTTCTTTTCGAGTTAGAGAAATTCGAGTTAAAGAGGTTAAAATCTATGCAAACTTAGTAAAAGAGCCGGAATTAAAAAAAAATTGGGTTACAGAAACTTAGAGTTAGAGGAGTCCCACTGTAATGTAAAGAAAAAAGTTTTCTGTTTGATTCAAATCTTCCGCCAATTTGAGGGCACCCTGTAGATGCTGGCTGTAGGAATTCAGGGACAAAGATCAGAAATAACTCTCCACTGTTTTACATGTGGTTATTTTACATTGTAAATTAGATATTAATTTTTTTATAATTAAATATGGTTTACAGCGATTAATGCTTGAACGTCTTGTTTTCATATTCAGATTACTTATAGTATGCAATAAGAATGGGTGTATAACGATTTTGATAGTATGATTCACAATGAACAAAACTGGCCTTGAAGGACTAACTTTCAAAACAATAAGGAATATTATACAATCGATAAATATTTTGACTCATAATTTCACACAAAAGTAATATAATTTGCTAAAGGCCATTGCCAAGATTGAAATTTTGTGTACATAGCTCGGTTTTAGCATTTCCTGTGTATTTTAAGATGTACTTAAATCACCCTTTCACACTGTGATTTTTTCAGTTATGTATTTTTTAAAAAACTGTTGCATAAGAACAAGTTATAACAAACTTAAACTGTATTTTCCCAAAATTGGTCGAAATATCAAACGAAATATGCAGTGGTTATCAAAATAAGCACACCTCACTACTTTTGATGTTTAATTTTTGAGCCTCAATCACCACTCTCGTTTCAAAATAATGTAAAATATTACTCCTATGCAGCTGAACCATGAATATGGTAAGTGAATATTCCATGATCTGAAAAAATCATGTGTAATCAGCGTGAGAAAATATATTAGAATATCATACAATGTTTGTTTTATTTCCTAGCCACATTCATATCTTGATAGAGCAATGTAAATATTGACCCTCGAAAAAAACGTGAAACATCAATTTGCTACAGAATTAGATTTGTGGGAAACAGATTTAATGAAAGTTCCCTGGTTCGAAAATTTACTACACTGCAAAGAAAATTCTTGACCTTTGATAATTTATTTTGATATTCTGTAAACATTGTAATCACGCGCTATTAAATCTATTCTTATCTGAATATAGGTGAAAGGCGAGTGTTTTGTTATTTAGAGAACCTGGTACGTTTGCACGAGATGTATTTAACTTGACCGAAAAGAACGCGTGATTGTGAGGCATGCACATTTCTCAATATGGTTTATTCATGTTGAAGCTAGATAGCTGTTATTTTGATGTTTTTTGAGCTTATTTTGAAACATGCTAAAGTTGCTCCACACTCTCGATGTCTCATGATGGAGAGAATGGTCGTTTTGACTGGTTCTTTATGTACCTGAACCTCGATCGATTCTAGGGCCGTATCGTCAGTCGTTCCTACAATTGGCCTCCTTGATTTTCATAGTTTTCTACTAATCCGTGTCAGCGCTCTATTTTGACGTTATGTTACAAATATATATTTGCATCAAAGTGATAATACTTTTGGTTTATATCATCTGTTATAACAGCCTGAAATTTCATACAATTCAAAAAGAAAACATAGCCACACAATAGGATTGCGCTGACACTGACACGGAACAATAGAAATCTAGAAATATCCCAGCCTTTCTGAAGGAGAGGAAATACTATGAAAATCAAGGAGGCCATAAAGGCGTCCTACAATAATTGTAAGACATAAAGGCGTCCTACAATAATTGTAAGACATAAAGGCGTCCTACAATATTTGTAGGACACCTTTATGGCCTCCTTGATTTTCAAAGTTTTCTACTGTTCCGTGTCAGTGCTCTATTTTGAGGTTATGTTGCAAATAACTATTTGCATCAAATTGTTCATGATTTTTATTTGTATCACCTGTAATATCAGCCTGAAATTTCCTACGATTCAAAAAGAAAACAAAGCCTCACAATAGAATGCTGCCACTGACACGGAATGGTAGAAATTTAGAAATACCTCAGCCTTTCTGACGGATAGAAAATATATGGAAATGAAGGAAGCCATAAAGGCGTCCTACAACATTGTAGGAACGACTGACAATACGGCCCTAAGATTCAAGGAGCAGTACTGTCATAGGTATTAATATTAGTCGATATAATGCATACTCAAGACCGGTTTTGGATGAAGTATCACCGATCAGCCAAACTGCTCTGCATCTGGAGCAAAAAATAATGTTTAGAATCAGCTTGAAAAAATGCTGATTTTTAGCAGTTTTGGGTTTGGCGTCGTGTAGATTCGTTAAAAGGGATCCTTTTTGGACAAGATTTTGTAACAAAACCAAATCACAATATTATTTACATATAAAATTCGAAATTCACTGCATATTGCCATTTCAAAAAATATTAATTCTGATTTTTTCCTGTTCTTGTACCTTTAGCACTGTCAATTAGGACTTGATAACTTCAGATCATTTTCGAATAGAAACAGGCTATCACCATGTTGTAAGTATCGTTTTGCTCAATGTATTACTTCACCTGCTTCTCGCAATATTTGCGCCTACAAAGAATGGGAAATAAAACCAGAATTATAAAGCAAATTTTTTATTCATTATTCAAAAATTAGAGGAAATCTTAATATTAGTGTAAAATACAAGCTTAAAACATTCAATCTTTGATACCCATTCATGCAACATGCTACGATAAATATATTTATATATGGATTTATTTCTTATGGTAATACAAAAGTTTTATTGAAAAATACCAAGAATTTACACAGCCATTGGCATACTCAGCTTTGGATGTGGATTATATCCCACCAGTTCAAAATCATCAGCCTTGAAGTCTTCTATGTTATCAACCTGGAAAACGAACCAAAATATTTTTCAACGCATTGCTATTAGCATAAATGAACGTATTCTACACGCAGATAGCCAGCCATTTCAGAGTCAAAAAAATTATCAGAGATATCCTGGCATCCTCTATGTCTCTATGAGAGCAGTAATTAGAAATCTACTTGCAAATTTTACTGTCTGTAGCCATATATGAGACACTAACCTTTTCAGATAATTTTTTTATTATAATTATTGCGTAGAGGACAAAGATCGCTATGACCAATGGTCACAGAGGACACCAGGATTTCTCATTTCATCTCTGAAAATTTTTGGGCGAATTACAATAAATGGTTGGCTATCTGCAAGTATAATAGGTTAATCGATGTTCTAATGCGTTTCATTTGTTATCAATTTTACTCCTATGATGTCAACACATTATTTTTGATGCTTTGATCGGGACCCCTTTTTTTAAAAGGGAGTATTTTTTTATACCGGAGCGGCTGCGCAAGCGGAAGTTTAAATAGGGACCTGATACTTCCGTTAGAGATAAGTAATCGATCACTCGGACAGCCCTCCTCCGAACAGCATCGAGCACACCCTAAACATGTGAGCAGTACTGGAAGCTAGGTCTTATCTTGGGCTTGTATAGAGTGAGGAGGTTATGTGTTAGCCCTAAAAAACAACCTAGCTTTTCCCCAGCAGCTGCCGCGTTTGACGAGATGTGTTCATTCCAGATTAAATTCTTGGTGATTTGGATTCAGACCAGTAGAAATGACCGGGTCTAGAATTAAGCAATCCTTCGAAACTGGATAAGTGCTAGGGCGCTTCTTGTTAGCCATTGAACAGTACTGTGTTTTAGAAGAATTAAACTGTACCAGATTGTTGCATCACCAAGCAGTGAGAACCTCCAGATCTCTTGTCAGAGAGGAAGTCGCTGCTAGTCTTCTCCCCAGCTCACTGAGAAGTAGGCTTAGCACTCTGAATTCCTGCATGTAGAGTGCTGTCATCACCGAAGCTGTCGATCGGATTGATCGTACAGGAAAGGAGGCTATTGATATGTAATAGAAACAATGTCGGAGCCAAGACAAAGCGGAAGTCGGACAACCATCTGCAAAGCTTCTCTGGGAGGCCGTAGGATGGAAGTTTGCATAAGAAGGCAGCATGCCACAGCTGATGGAAAACTTTCATGGTATCAAAAGCAACGACATGAGCCTCACCATATGACTGGATCAATTTACTCCAGAAAGCAGTAAAATCTCTGAGAGATAGTGGGCGTTGTTCTTTTAGACAATATAATCAAGTTTTGACAGCTGTTGAGCATTTTAAAAAAAGTTTGCGACTGCATTTATTTCCGACAAAATAATACACTCCTGGGTTCTTCAAACCATTAAATGTACCCATCATAAAGTTAAGTTCATCTTCATAAGTGAGACTGACGGCGAGACTTTCGCGCTTTTTCTTAAGAGATTGATTCGGGGAGCGGCTGTTCGATTAGCTTTCAGGAATTCAGTTTCCCGAAGGGTAAGAGAACCACGCCAATTTTCTCTCCGTTATTCTGTTCCCTCATTTCAAGAGTTGGCATCTTGACAATACATGCAAAGCACCAAGTCAGTATATGTATAAGAAAAATTTATGTATTTCATTAGTTGACCTCCCAGAGAAACTTTGCAGATGGGTGGCTGACTTTCTCTCCGGCCGCAAGATATGCGTCATAATTGACGGGTGCTCCTCTTCATCCCACAACGTCAACCCGGGTGTTTTGATCCCAACATTGTTTCTATTACATATCGACGACCTCTTCTCCTGCACGATCAATCGCATCCATAGCTTTGGCAATGACAGTACCCTACAGGCAGGCATTCATTATGACAAGCCGACCTCTGCTTCCAAAACCCAGTACTGTACCTTAACTAACAATAAGCTCCTTAGCGCTCATCCTGTTTCAATGGATGGCCGAGTTCTGTTAATGTCATTCATTTCGGTTGGTCCAGATCGCCGAGGACTTGATTTCAAAAGTGTGGCTAGATCTGTTTATAGAATGTGTTGTTCCTGTCTTTGTACGCCCTGTATAGTTTTTAAAGGTTAAAAGCATAATCTGTACATGTATGTTTTACTGCGAATGCCTGTGTTTATTATTATTATGTATTATTATTTGTTTGGATCTAAAAAGTACTTTTTTGCGCACAACCTCCTCACTCTGCCAGACGGACCCGCCTCCCATCACAAGTTTGTCGAACTTCACACATCGAGAACTGGCTGGTACGACCGTTCCTCCGTTCCTATAATGTCGAGATTGTGAAAAAGTCTGCCCGAGGACGCTTTTGCCAGTTCTGCTAACCTTAGGCAGTTGACAAATCGGATTACTAAGACGTACTTAAGTGCCTTATAACTGTCGCGGTGCAGCGGTATTTAGGTTTCCGCCTAATACGCGACTGATGCTCCAGGATAAAAAAAAAGTTACCCACTGGATAGGTAAGTACCACACCAATGAATATGGAAAGGGCGATTAAAATATTA